GACTAGAATATTTTTGCCAATAATAGTAGAGTTATAAAACTGAACAATTCAACTCGAGTCTCTAAATGATACATCCTTGTGCCTAGTTTAATCAACCAATGTTTTGATAGATAAGAAATATAACATTTGGATTTGCTAACATTTTGAAATATCAAGTACAATAGGTTATAAATAACTAAATTGTTACAAAAGGACATATAAACTTAACCTAAACCTAAAGGCTAAAAGTCCTCATTGCCCACATATGCTAAATTCATCGTAGCCCACCAAAAAGGTATGTAAGGGTGTGGAGAAACATGAAAAAAAGATATGTTTACTTTTGGGTTGTCTTAAGCCTACCAATCCCACATCCTAAGCTTCTTCTGTTAATGCAGAAAGAAGAACGATTGAAGAATCATTTTTTATTATGTTCTAATAGATAGCTAAGTAGTTGTGTGAGTAATTATTATTAAAGCCAAATGATTTAATCCTTGTTTAAAATAAAAAAAGGTGAAAAGTTAAAACAATTAATCAATTATGTTAAAATTGAATAAATTAAATCTATATTAATCGATTAGATAAGTACTTAATCGATTATATGAGTTTAACTCATGTTTTCATACTATGCACTAATAATCGATTATGCTATCACTTAATCGACATCAAGAGGTACAATATTAAAAGCATCAGATTCATGTGCATGATCAGAATGTGTATCAACATCTATGTCAATCATGTTAGTAGTTGTATCAATATTCAGAAACTGATCAATATAAGAATTACATACTTTAGAATCAGTATATGCAAAACAGGTGACAAAATTATGCAGAGATGGAAATTCAACATCATGAAAGGTTTCAAATACATGTTCATCAATTAATTCATCAATCAAATCAACATGAAAGACATAAAGATCCTCATATGGGTGTTTCATGGCATTTAGAATATTAAAGCGCACCATAATGTCATCAAATTCCATGGATAAGGTCCCTGCATGCACATCAATTTTGGTTTGTGCGGTCTTTAAAAATGGTCTGCCTAAAATGATGGGTGCAGAACCACGTGAAAATCCCTCATCCATATCAAGAATATAAAATCCAGCAAGGAAAATCAACTCACCAACCCTAACTAAGATATCCTCAATGAAACCTGTAGGGTGGGTAACACTTCTGTTTGCCAACTATATCACCACACCCGTAGGTTGCAAATGTCCAAGAGAAAGATATTTAAATATAAACAACGACATGACATTAATGGAAGCACCCAGATCAAGCATAGCATTTTCAAATTTATAATTACCTATGATACAAGGCACACAAAAAGTACGTGGGTCTTTGCACTTCTCAGGAATTTGAGGAACAAATTTACCTACTAGTCTGACACATTTCTGCCCATGCTAATCCGCTAATTTCCCTTTAGTTTCCTCTTGTGAGTACACAACTCCTTCAGGAACTTGACATATCTAGGAATTTGCTTGATGACATCCAAAAGAGGAATGTTCACCTCCACCTTCCTGAATGTTTCTAGAATCTCTTTGTCTACCTCTTCCATCTTTTTACTTGAAATTACTCTTGGAGGGAAGGGAAGAGGGATAGGAGGTTGTTGCAGCTAACTATTCTGTGTAGTAGAACTGGAGGATTCTGTACTACCACTTGCAGGTTCCTTTTCCTCAAGACACTTTATCTTTGATGCAACACTATTATCTGTCTGAGGTGAAGGCACAAATTAAAAGTGATGAAGATCTTATTGAACTTTATGATAGAATAAAGATCTTGTGGATTTGATGAAGTCAAAGGTTACTTGGGTTTAAGGGTAGAGTATTTAGTGAGTCATCATCAATATTAATAGGTATTCATTCATATATTTCTGCCGCATAAGGTTTGATCATTTAAAAAATTTTGAAAATACCTCTAAAAATGTTTTAATCTGTTAAAAATCAATGTAATCGAGTAAATTGTTCTTAAGAAATAGTTTTAACTAATACTATATAAGGTTAATCAATTAAAATGAGCTAAGATAATTTATAACGTAATTTTAAGCGATATGTTTTCGAAATAATAAATTAAAATCATTTAAAACATTCATTGTAACTATTTTAATTGATACATACTCAAATTAATCGATTATTTTCACTAAAGGAGTATTTGAAAACCTTCTGCCAGTATTTTAACTGATATAACTTCGAAATAATCGATTAAAATCACTTAAGATGTTTTGAAAAGTGGTCTAACAGTATTTTAATCGATATAATTTTGAAATAATCGATTAAAACCACTTGAAATGATTTGAAAAGTGTTCTATCAGTACTTTAATCGATGTAACATCGAATTAATCGATTAAATTCACTTGAGATGTTTTGAAAAGTGTTCTGCCAGAATTTTAATCGATGTAACATCGAATTAATCGATTAAAAGAACTTAAAGGAATTTCTGTCAAGTGTTTTAATCGATTAAAACTTGTTGTTACCAGTTAAAATCATTTAGGAAGTTTTGTGAAAATATTTGGCAGAATATTAATCGATTAAAACGTGAATTAATCAATTAAAACAACTTAGATAATTTTTATTTAACTGTTTTAATTGACATCGTCGCATCAGTTAAAATAAATCTGGAAAATGATTAAGTACATTTTAACCAATTAAAAGAAGAATTAATCAATTAATCAAGATTTAATAATTGATTAAAAGACAATTTAACTGATTAATTAAACTAGTTAGTTGGAAAAAAAATCTATATAAATAGGTTTGCTTCAATCTTTTAAAACACATCATTTTAGCAATCAATCAAGCAATCATAAGAGAGATTTTCAAGAAAGAATTGTGTAAGTTTTGTGGAGTTTTACAAAGTTATTTCTTGAGGCATTTTTGCATTGTTTTTGTGAAGAAACTCATACTACAGGAGCTACATAATCTGAGTTTGATTAATCTAGTTTCTTCTCTTTGTTTCTTTATGATTCTTTACTATATTGTGAGTGTCTGGAAGTGTTGGGTACTGGTTTTGTAGCTGGAATAAGGCTGCAGGTTGGTTCAAGAACTATAATTTGGTTATTGGTGAAGGTTTAGGTGCAAGAACTAGAATTTGGTTCTTGGTAGATTAGGTGATGTGTAATTCAAAATTGTAATCAGTAATACATTCAATCTAGTGAAACTCAGGTGAAATTTGGCTGAGAACTGGATGTAGCCATGTGGTTTGGGTGAACCAGTATAAATCTTGGTTGTATCTTTCTAAACTTTTGCTCTCCTTAATTCTGTCGCTGCCTTATATTGAATTGTTTACTTTTCTTGATTCAAAAAGTAATCAGAACTCTAAATCTTTGAAATAGATAATTTGTATTCCTAAAAGTGCGAAAAACTTTCTAAGATCAATTCACCCCCCCCTCTTGATCTCAGCCTACTTTTCTAACAATTGGTATCAAGAGCAAGGTCTTGAAAATCACTCAAGACTTTCGGTCCAAATCTTTTCATGGCTGAAAACAAATTACCTTTTTCTGAGGGTGCTTCTATTAATAGACCTCCATTGTTTTGTGGTACATATTATCCTTTTTGGAAGATAAGGATGAAGATCTTTATTGAATCTATTGTAGAAATGTTTGGGATGTAATTGTTAATGGTTGATGTGAAGAGAGCTAGAAAGCATACTTGTTAGAATCGCGCAGCGGAATGTTCGCGTGGTCGGACAAAAACCAAGAGGGGGGGGGTGAATTGGTTTCTTAACAAAAATTAGGTTTTCAAAATTTTCCCCAAATTTTACCGATTAAAAACTGTGTAAATGTAAATAGAGAAGAGAAGAGAATCTTACACAAGAGATTTATACTGGTTCGGATCAAAAGACCCTACGTCCAATTGCTAATCACTAAAACAGAGGATTAACGTTGTCACTATAATCACAATTGTTACAAACAAATTACAATGAAAAGATAAAGATAAGAAAACACCTCTCTTGAAATCCACAAGAGATGATGAACAACTTTCCCTAGAGACGACACAACACACAATCCACTAAGAACTCCACTTAGTGATTCTTATCGCTTCTAGCTCACACCAGGTTCCAAAAGCCCATTTTTCTTGCAAAAAACAGTTCTCTGGCACTACAACACTTAAATTTTGTATGAAAAAGGTTGTTCAACTTTTCTGAGTTCCATAGAGAAGCTTAAGTAGAGAAATTAGGGTTTGGGAATTGGGAATTTCGGAATTAGGGTTCTTGGGAAAAGGGTTTTCGAAAATAGGGTTGATTTGAAGTTAAAAATCAAAATCTGACTGAAATAATCGATTAAATGAAGTATTAATCGATTATTACAGAGCCAAAATCAACAGAACCCCAAAACACACTGTTTTAATCGATTAAAAGGGCTGTTAATCGATTAACAGGCCTGTTAATCGATTAACAGGTGGTTTAATCGATTAAACTAGTGAGCAGATACAGAAAATGGTTTTTCTCACTGTTTTAATCGATTATTTCCCTATTTAATCGATTAAAGCCGAGCCTGGATGATAAATTTGAGCTTTTTGAAGCATCTAAGGTGCAGACTATTTACCGACTATCTTAAACTCTAATATTACAGACTCAATCTAATTAAAACAGAGTTATTACAATACAAAACAAGTCTTCAACACTCTAAGTCTTTGAGTTCTTGAATCATCATCAAAATCAACAATCTTCATGTCCATCAAGTGCAACATCAAGTCCTTGAATGTTCAACAATCTCCCCCTTTTTGATGATGATCAAAATTATCTTTTTAAAGCCTTGTAATAATCTGTTTTATCTGTCATACTAATAAACACATTAAACATACCCGATAATATTTAAAAACAATCATATTAGGCTTTAAATATTTTCTCCCCCTATTTTGATTAGAATAAAAAATAATTCTTCTATTACAAACATAAGAGCTCCCCCTTAAAATATGCATAACTTAGAGAAAACTCCCCCTCAATCAAAGCAATAACAAAACACCACATTTTATTTCAAAGAAAAGCATTCATTACAATATAAGAAATAACAACAAATTTAAAATTCTTCACTATCATCACTATGAAAGTGTGCATCAAATCTATTTTCTAAACGACACACTTTATCATCTACATCAGATATACGGCAAATTATTTCCTCATGCCGTACTCCAGAAAGTGTGAAGAATGACTGCATTCTCTGATTCATGTCAGATAACATGTCTTCCATGGATTGTCGGGTTTCATGATGAGTAGAGGAAGTTCCAACACTTTGGATTTGCTCAGAGGGAAACTCAGCAGCAGGAGGCATATCTTCATCAGAATCTTCATTGTCATCACCTTGATTCGGAACGTCATCCTTGTGAACATAAATGTCGTTGACACGCACCATTTGAAGTTGGATCAATGTGCTGTCAAGCATGCGATTCAAGTTATTTGTTCTTACTGTTTGTTCACCTTCGACATTGACTCCCTTATATTCAAGAATCCGAGAGACAAGGAGGGCATATGGAATTTTGAATGTGGGATGACGTTTGGCTTTTAACATAGTCATGGTGACAAGAACGCCCCAATCTAAGGGCTCATTATTCATTATGGCATGAATAATCCTAAGATCAATTGAAGAACATTGAGCATGATTTGTAGCCCGAGGACAAAGGATCCAGACAATTAGATGTAAAATCATGCGTTCCTCCTTCTTTAGAGGTCCAGCAAGAAGGAGACGCCCAATCTCCATGGAGGGATTTCGCAAAAAAGAACGGTAAGCTAAGAACCTGTCAAAATCATCTAGTTCACCATAAATGTTAATAGCATCTTCTCTAATTAGAAAGTGGGCAACGTTTTCCCAAATATCATCGTCAAGAATAATTGTGACACCCTTTACTCTAGAAGTAGCAATTTGATCTCTAAATTTAAATCTAGAGTAAAATACCCTAACTAAGTCAGGATAATAAGTATCTTGCATTTGGATGAAGGGAAGAACTCCTTGAATTTCAAGAAGATTGGGAAAATTGAATCCCCTATTGATGAACTGCTCACCAATAAGGAACTTTGGAGAGATAATGACACGTTCCTTCCAATAGGTTAGAAATTCTTGTTGGCCATCTGTATCAGAAATCCATCCTTCTACAGAATTAGGACGGGGACGAGATGAAGGTGCAGATCTTCTTCTAGTAGGGATCTTAGCACGAGAAGATGAAGCCATTTAAAGATTAGAGGAATAACAAGAATATTTAGAAAGCTAAGTGTAGTGAGAAGAGGGAAATATTGCTAGAATAAGATAAGAAAGATTGATTTCAAGAGATAGAAGTGAGTAGAAGTGATATGGAGGCCCCTATTTATAATCGAGCATGTCCAACGGTCATATGGAAGTGAATATAGGTCAAGAGATCCGTTGGCAACGGCTAGGAAGCCAAATTTGCCAGGTTTAATCGATTAAAACTCAGATTAATCGATTAAACCAGTGCCAGAGTCATTTAATCGATTAAATTGAGCAGATAATCGATTAATTTTGTATTTAATCGATTAATTATCGAATTAATCGATTAATCCAGAGAGGAATGCCCTATTTTGAGTGTTTTGGATGCAAATAATCGATTATAACTCTAATTAATCGATTATTCCAGAGAGTACATCAAATTTTTGAGGTTTTAACACATGATAAACTATGAACATCCTGTATAATGAATTTTAACATTACAATCATCCAAAAATTGTCTCAATAAGCAGAATTTAAGCTATTTCTAATATCCCTAAGTCTCTTCTAAGATCATAGAATCTATCTTTGGGTAGAGGCTTAGTAAAAATATCTGCTAATTGATGCTTTGTATCAACGTATTCTATTTTACAGTTCCCTTTGCTGATATGATCTCTCAAAAAGTGATGCCTAATTTCTATGTGCTTAGTCCTAGAGTGCATTACTGGATTCTTAGTAAGATTAATTGCACTCGTATTATCACACATCAAAGGTATGTCATTTAAAAATATACTATAATGTTCTAACTGTTGTTTCATCCACAGAATTTGAGCACAACAACTACCAGCTGCAATATATTCAGCTTCAGTGGTAGATAAAACAACACAAGTTTGTTTCTTAGAATGCCAAGATACTAAGGATGAACCTAACAAATGACATGTCCCACTAGTACTTTTCCTATCAATTTTGCATCCACCATAATCAGCATCAGAATATCCTATTAAACTAGTACAGGCATCAGAAGGATACCATAATCCAAAACCGAGTAGTTCCTTTTAAATATTTTAAAATATGTTTTACTCGCAATTAGGTAAGATTCTTTTGGACAAGCCCGAAATCTAGCACACACACGGACAGTAATGCATAATATCGAGTCTACTTGCGGTTAAGTATAACAGAGAACCTATCATACCTCTATACATAGATTGATTAACTTCCAAACCTGATTCATCCTTGTCTAGATAGCATGAAGTTCCCATGGGTGTGTTAGCTTCCTTTGAGGTGTCCATTCCAAATTTTTTAAGGATCTCTTTGCAGTATTTGGTTTGAGAGATGAAAATGCCATCTTTAAGTTGCTTGATTTGTAGTCCAAGGAAGAATGTCAATTCTCCCATCATAGACATTTCAAACTCTCCCTGCATTATCTTAGAAAATTCTACACATAACGAATTATCAGTTGATCCAAAAATAATATCATCAACATATACCTGGACCAATAAGATATGTTTTTTTAACTTTCTTTATAAACAGTGTAGAATCAATTTTTCCTCTAGAAAAATCATTTGAAGTTAGGAAACTACTTAACCTTTCATACCAAGATCTAGGAGCTTGTTTCAACCCATATAATGCTTTCTTTAATTTAAAAACATGATTAGGAAAACTAAAATCCTCAAAACCAGGGGGTTGCTCCACATAAACTTCTTCTTTAATAAAACCATTTAAAAATGCACTCTTAACATCCATTTGATATAATTTAAATTTCATCAAAGATGCATAAGCAAGAAGTAGGTGTATAGCCTTTAACCTGGCAACAGGAGCATAAGTTTCATCATAGTCTATACCTTCCTCCTGGCAATAGCCTTTTGCAACAAGTCTAGCTTTATTCTTTGTTATGTTCCCATCTTCATCAAGTTTGTGAAGCACTTGGTGGATTTGATGAAGACATAGATATAACTTAGGTTGTGGGTGTGTAGATGATTAGGGTTTTAAGTTTAAGCACTTAATCTCTTGATAGGCCATTATATTTTGTGATAAGCACCTTAAAATGATGCATCTCATTGAAAATCATTTTTTTGCATGAAAAACTTACGTTTAAGTATTAAAAGAATTAACTAAGTTTTTTTTCAATCTGTTGAAAAGGATTTTCAATCTGTTAAAATCACTTAACATAATAAATGGTCATACATAATCGAAAATTCAATTGATTGATTCGCGGAATCAACAAGTTAAAATAACTCAATGAATTTTCAATATCAAGTTTCGCATTTTCAATCTGTTGAAATGATTTTAAATCTGTTGAAACAGAAAGACCTTTTTCAGTCTAAGAGTTTTTAGAAAATCAATCTGTTGAAATATTTTTCAATCTGTTGAAACAGAGAGACTATTTTTCTAACTAAGTATTTGCAGGAATTTAATCTGTTGAAATGATTTTCAATCGATTGAAACAGAGTGCTGTCATTTTTCATTAAGTTGTTTTAATCCATTAAAACTCGAATCAATCGATTAAATGGAACTTTAAATGAAATCAATCGATTGAATCGATGTCTTAATCGATTAAAAGGAACTTTAAATGAAATCAATCGATTGAATCGATCTTTTAATCGATTGAAATAATACTCTAATCGATCATAGTTTTGTTCTAATCGATCATAACTCATTCTGATCGATCATAGTTTTATTCTGATCGATCATAACTCAGTCTAATCGATCATTCTTTTGTTTTAATCGATCAGATTCTCTTCTAAACCTATTTTACTGCTAACCAACTTATCTTTTGACTCTCTAAAACAATTTTTAACAGATGAAACGTTCTGTTTTTCTGATTTACTCTATATATACAGATTTGATCTATCTTTTGAATATACAATACAACACACTACTTGAGAAAACTTGTGAAATCAATCTGTGAAACTTTCATACGTGACTTTCTCCGCATTCAAGAATCTTTTTCATATCATAAGGTGCTTGTGATCAGAATTGTGGTCATTCAAAGCAGAAAGTCTTGATAGAATTGGTTCTGGACAATTAGAAACTTCAAGTCCAGGTTTATTCTTTTCATATTCTTTTGTATAGTTTGATTGTGCAGGTTGGATTGTAATCTGCACTTGGTACAGTAACTGGATTTGGTTACTGGGTGGTTTTCAAGATTCTGTCTTGTGGGTTTTGCAAGATAGTTCTTGAGGTAGATTGGTGAGTATCTACTGGTTGTAATTTTTCACTTGGTATTAGTGAAACTTGACTGGTTTGTCAAGAACTGGATGTAGCTCTAGATTAGAGTGAACCGAGTATAAACTTGTGTGTTAATATTCTTCTTTCATCTCTTTTAATTTCTGTCTTTAATTGTACTGTGTTTAAATCAAATTACCTTTGCAAAGATTGAATAAAGATAACTCATTCTTCCAAAAGAAAGTAAGATTTGCGAAAAAGTTTTAAAGTTCAATTCACCCCCCCCTCTTGAACTCAACCATTAATTCTTTCAATTGGTATCAGAGCTGGTTCTTGTAAGTTATTCAAGGAATCGGTTCAATGGCTGAGGAAAAGATGAATTTTTTAGAAGGAGCCTCCATAAACAGGCCTCCACTTTTTTACGGTGTGAATTATTCTTTACGGAAGGTTAGAATGAAAATCTTTATTGAATCTCTTGATAGAGGCATTTGGGAAACAATTGTTAATGGTCCTTATAAACCAACTCATACTGTAGATGGTAAAGTAGTCGAAAAAGATTGGGCTGAATTAAGCTGATGTAGAAAATAGGAAAGTCCAATATGATTATACTTGCAAAAAATATTATTACCTCTGCTTTAAATCTTGATGAGTTTTTCGAGGTGTCTCGGTGTGCCTCGCCAAAGAGATGTGGGAAATTTTAGAGGTTACACATGAAGGAACGTCGATGTGAAAAGGGCAAGAAAGCATGAGTTAATCGGGGACTATGAGTTGTTTAAAATGCGGCAAGGAGAAACAATTGCGAGATGTGCGAAAAGGTTCACGCACATAGTTAATCATCTAATCGGGTTAGGAAAGACTTTTGACAAAGAAGAGTTGAACATCAAAATTTTAAAGTGTTTGGACAGAACATGGCAACCAAAGGTGACAAGCAATATCGAGAATCAAGAGACTTGACTGAAATGACTACCGCTTCACTTTTTGGTAAGTTGAGGGAACATGAGTTGGAAATCAATCGGTTCAAAGAACAAGAGAATGCAGAAAAGAAAACTAGAAATATTGTTCTCAAGACAATTGAAGAAAACAGTGGATCTGAAGAAGATGAATCGAGAGAACTGACTTTATTGGTTAAGAAATTTGGAAAATTTCTTAGAAGAAAGAAACAGAATTGGCCAAGTAAAAAGGTACAATGATAAAAAGAGCTGAATCTGTTCAAAATAATATTACTTGTTATTCTTGTGGTAAACGGGGTCACATAAAGAGTGATTGTCCGGAAAAGACCAAGAATCAGAACAAGAAAGAATCAAGATACAAAGGGAAAAAGGCTTATATAGCCTGGCAAGACAATGATTCATCTTCCGACTTACGAATCGAAAGTGAGGAGGTGAACACTGTGCTTGATGGCTGGTTGTGAATCCTCTTCATCACATGTAAGTTCAACTCCTACGAGAGAATGAAATGAATTACAGACACATTACTAAATGCTTTCAATGAAATGCATAGTGAAGCCAGAAATTTATCTCATACAAATAACCGGTTAAAAGGATTAAATAACTGGTTAGAAAATAGAGTTAAAGTTCTGGAAAATGAATTATTAGAAAGCAAAAAAGATTTAGAACATCTAGATATAATCTATGCATCTGCTGATAATGTTGCTAATAAGAAGTGTGAAAAGTGTATTATTCTGCAAGATAAGGTTGATTACTTGATTAAAACTTTGTCTAAATTTACTCAAGGAAAAGAGAATTTAGATGCACTTCTTGGGTCTCAAAACTGTGTGTTTGAACATAGTGGAATTGGATACAAATCTAAGACTGGGGTAAAAACAAAAAAATATTTGAACTTCT